CATGTATGTCATTGTTGGAAGGATAAAATTATTTAACATTTTGAATTATGGATGGTGTTCAGGATCGAGAGGTCATGAAGCTTACAGATTTTTCAAGCTTCGGGGACTACATAAATAGTCTGCTTTATGGCTATCAATCATGGACGAATAAAGACAATTTTGTGTTGTTTTTCCAGCTGTCAGGGTGAGTTAATTTTCTTTATTTATTTGTTTGCTGAATAATGTTGATATTATCTATTTATTAATATTGTTATTCTCTCTTTTTCCGTGTTAATAATTTTGTTCAGAAATTGATTGATTATCCCTTTTTACTGACGCCCAGCGTAACGATGAAGAAGATCGATGATATTTATCCAAGTAAGAGCCCTTCTGCACGTATGAGATTTTTCAACAAAAATATTGCATTTGCTACGTTCATTGATTGGAATTTGGATCCGAGTAGGTGTGAATCATTTATGGTTGCAATATATAAATTTGATCCGAAGAGAATTATATATGGTAGGGATCCGGATTAATTGTTAAGATTCATGAGAAACGTACATCATCATTTCAACCAAAATAATTGGAACTTGACAATTGTGGAGGTCGATGTTGCATTAAGAAGTCTATGGCCTGATATCTCATTCACATATATCCATGAAATTATAAGTGTTATTTTACTTTCTTTAGATACTTCTGTTCCAATATTGGAGTATGATTATACGTAAGAGTTATTTTATTTCTTTAGATAGTTCTGTTCCAACATCGGAGTATGATTATATGTTGTTTTACATGAAATTGCATTATTTTATTTAAGCACAAATTTAAATTAAAAAATTGACTGATGCCCCAAATCCCCTACGAGCCATCGTTTACCCAACTTTTGGCTCAAATCTGCCCCGTTGCGATGCCTAGCTTCAACCGAAGCGGAATTAGGTGTCTATGTTATTTGAGTTCCCATTTCCCCAGCTGTCCTCATGAGAATATTTTCCTCACATCCTGCATGTATATTATTTTGGGTAAAATTTGGAGAATGGTGATGCCATATTATTTCATCAAAAAATTACCCGTACAGAACTTATTATACATGAGCATGCTGCATGCAAACATAATAGCAACTATCACAATCCCATATTCATGGTGGATTTTTACTTAAAAACTCTCGCGAAACATTCATACTTTTGAAGAACGCGTCATTACATGATTCATGGTGGAATATGGGAGCTGCCAAAGAATCCAAAACCTTTTACCCTTATAATGCGAGATGAGTCTACTACTGTGTCTTTTCAACCCAAACATAATGCAAATCAATGAAGCCAGTCCATGCATTGAGTATTACTATAACACTTAACCCAGAGCTCTATATTTTAAAAAGATTACACACTCAAGCGTGCAAATTCTCAGATGGCAGAATGGGAAAAATGAAATTACAGAACACGATAAGCATTTAAACGAAGTCAGATTTTTTTTTTTAACAAAATCATATGTTTTGCTATTCAAATAGAAGTTACTAGCCTACGTCGACGTTGATATCATCTCAGCCATCTTACGTTACCTATCAGTATATTTGAATTCATATATTTGTCAGCAAGTTAAGATGCCACAAGAACGGGCATCCATGCAATTCCAAATACGGCAGTACACTTTAGCTCATGAGGCGTGTAAGAAACAATACGAATTCACACAAAAAAATCAAAGGCCAATCAAAAGAATTTCCAAAATAGAAAAATTTATATATGAATCAAAGAGCCCAGAATGTCACCAGATTTTAGCCTTTTGTCAACAACCCAATCAAGCATTCTTTGAGCTTCCTCAATCAATGTGGGATAGGATGCTCAGGACTGAAGAACCACATGTCAGCTTTCCCAAGTAGCTTGATCGTTTCTTCACACACCTTGAAAAGTGTAATTCCATTTGCCCGTAAATTTTTTGCAGCCAGACTGGTTCCTTCGGCCCAATTCTAAGTATACCGCATTATCAGTAAAGAGTAAGTATGTGGTGAGAGATTCGTAAGAATTTTTTGTTTTTTGTTTTTGTTTTGATATTGTAAGAAGGCGCTTCATATCTCATATTTGCATCCTCATTTAGCCTTTAGTTGTTTTTGGATCGTAACTTCCCGAATTTCACAACTAAGCGATTATGCATAAGATAGAAGCGTGCACACAACTACACAAGGGCCCTTCTAACCAGCACAATTTGCTAACTAAGCTTCAACTTATGCAGCTCACTTGAAGATACTCATGCACATCGCAACCAACTAAATTTCGAAATTTGCAGTTCTAGTCTTACATAATCTAGACCTTTAACTCTGATTGTTTGACTCCATCTTAAAATCGGATACAACATTATGGAAAATGGAACTAGTACTTAATTATAGCTGCACTAATCAACCCAACCACGTGCATTATGATCAGAGAAAAAACATTCAAAAGCAATTGAATCATTAGCTAAATTAACAACAATTAAAGCTTAAAAGGGTAAGAAATTTGCTTACCCTCTGTAAGGATGCCAATGAGAATTGCTTCAGTCCCAGTCGTTGCATACTTGAGCTTCCTGGCTTCCAATTCACCCATGGCAAATGACTTTATAGCCTTCCAAGACCATCTGCATCCACTCACCCAATACCAAAACCTCAATCCCAACAAACCCAGAAATAAAAAAACACCAAGCCCTCAAAAGATATTAAAAAGACACTCAATTAGGCACTTTGTGTTCACTTGTTTTTTATCTAATCCTGTGATGGTAGGGTAAAGTTCCCAGTTAACTTGAGAATCATTAGTGGTCAACAAGTCAAACAGCCCAGAATGTCACTAGATTTTAGCATTTTGTCAACAGCCCAATCAAGCACTGTTTGAGCTTCCTTAGTCAATGTGGGATGGGATGCTCAAGACTGAAGAACCACATGTCAACTTTCCCAAGTAACTTGATTGTTTCTTCACACACCTTGAAAAGTTTAATTCCATTTGCCCGTAAATTTTTTGCAGGCAGACTGGTTCCTTCGGCCCAATTCTAAGTATACCGCATTATCAGTACAGAGTAAGTATGTGGTCAGAGATTCGTAAGTTTTTTGTTTTCGTGTTTTGTTTTAGTTTTTAGTTTTAGTTTTTTCGTTTTGATATACTAAGAAGACGCTTCATAGCTCATATTGGCATCCTCATTTAGCCTATTTTGCCTATAAAATATTTTATTAGGTTTAAAGTTGAATTTTTGACCGGGAAGGAATTTGCAAATTTCAATTTGGACCATTGCATAGAGCATGTTGAAACGAGTCCGTAGATACATAGTGAGCTCGAATCGGAGCTATAACGAAGAAATGTCGATTAAAACTTATGTAGGGGCAAAATTGTAATTTTGCAAAACTGGATTTTTTAAATATCCAGATTTCCTCTCTCTCTCTCTCTTTCTCTCTCTCCCCGCGAGCATCTCCCCCTCCCCTGAAATTTTTTTTCCAGCCGGTGGCTTAAGAAGCCACCACCATCGCCACACGCCGCCATTTTTGGCGGCACCGGTTTCAAAGGAATCGCAACCTGTCCCTCTTCCCGTTCCGCCTCAGCCCAGCCGCCACAGCGGCAGGTTTTGGCCGGAAAATCGAGGAAAATGGCCGGATTTTCGCACGGCTTTCCAACCTCTCGTTCTCTCTCCTCCGGCCACCGTTTCCGACGAATGAGGTATGGAATCTCATCTATTTTTCGAGTTCTAGCTGATGGTTGGATAGGATTTGATCGCTTTTTAGTTTTGGTAACCCAATTTACAACCTAGGTTTTGGCCGGTTTTCGAATTGAAATTCCGGCCACTTGCCGTCCAAATTGGACGTTGCAGTAGTTGAATAAAGTGTTCCACTCGTCGAGTAGTAGCTGTAGATGGAAGGGTGGCCCTCGGTTTTGAGATTTTCCGACCGAAGGCATCGCTTTGGACACCCACGGGCTGCAGGCGCGTGTGGCGGCGCGTGGGCACTGTAGCAAAGGGACATTGTGTCCCAATACGATCCTCTAGTTGTCACGAGTGCATAGGCGTGCTCAGATTCTACTTCAGATATCGTTTGGACCCCAAACGGATTTCGCCTATTGTACAATTTCCCGGGTTCGATACGTTTGAACTGTTTGATCGCAACCCATTTAATATATGTTGATCTAGGCAGTTCTAGGATCGAGTAGGAATCAACGGATCGTGAATCGGAGTCTTGTATACTCCGAAATGATCAACCCTAGGGTTAGGTTTACCATAACCTTCCGATCGTGAGTAATCTGACCGTACGATTGAGATGAAACTCTCAAGACATGTGTCCAAGGCATATTGAAACCCTTAGGAACGTTCGGATCGTATAATGGATGTGACGGGGAGAAAGAGAAAAAATAGAAAATGTTCATTGTTTAAAGGAAAGTTTCAGTGGGACAAGTGAAGCGTACTTTGTAGTACAATGAAGATATAGAATTCATAATGTTAAATAATTTTATTCTTCTTTCAACAATGACATACATGGAGCCATGCAGAAGACCACCATGATAGTAGCCATTTTTTATGGATTTCCTGAATGGCTGACAATAAGCCCCTGCAAAAAATAAAAATATAAAGTTAATTATGCCAACAAAATAATTCTAAATCAAATACAAAATAGTAGTATGTTAAAAAAGACTAATATTAAATATGACTTTCACCTAATTTGCATTATCCATGAATCGTGAAGTCGGGATTTGCCCTGAACAAGTAAAGCAGGCAGTGAAGGATATGGATTTGGTTGATAGAGTGACAGTACCCATTGATGGACTGTTGCATCAAACCATTCATAGCCAATTGACCAAAACCCATTCATTTAAGGGTTGTTATGCTATAATTCTCATACCAATTAACAATGTGTCTAGAGGGCGGGGGATTGGTTTGACAATAAACAAGCAGATATGGGCTTAAAACGCAATCATTCATGTTGCTAGCAGAGTATGTATAATCAAAAACATTTTGAAGTCAGTTAACATCAACTCTAGCACCAAAGTTAAAAAATTTCATGGGTTTAGAAGGACTACCCATTAGTATGGAGAAATTGTACGACTGATGGGTGGTCCTTCTAAACCCATGAATTTTTAAAACTTTGGTGCTAGAGTTGATGTTAACTGGCTTCAAAATGTTTTTGATTATACATGTTCTATTAGCAACATGAATGACTGCGTTTTAAGCCCATATCTACTTGTTTATTGTCAAACCAATCCTCCGCCCCCTGGAAACATTGTTAATTGGTATGAGGATTATAGTATATCAACCCTTATATGAATGGGTTTTAGTCAATTGGCTACGAATGGTTCGATGCAACAGTCCATCAGTGGGTACTGTCATTCTATCAACCAAATCCATATCTTTCACTGCCTGCTTTACTTGTTCAGGGTAAATCCCGACTTCACGATTCATGGATAATGCAAATTAAGTGAAAGTCATATTTAATATTAGTCTTTTTTAAGATATTACTATTTTGTATTTGATTTAGAATTATTTTGTTGGCATAATTAACTTTATATTTTTATTTTTTGAAGAGGCTTATTGTCAGCCATTTAGGAAATCCATAAAAATGGCTACTATCATGGTGGTCTTCAGCATGACTACATGTATGTCATTGTTGGAAGGATAAAGTTATTTAACATTTTGAATTCTGAATGGTGTTCAAGATCTAGAAGTCATGAAGCTTACAGATTTTTCAAGCTTCGGGGACTACATAAATAGCCTGCTTTATGGCTATCAATCATGGACGAATAAAGACAATTTTGTGTTGTTTTTCCAGCTGTCAGGGTGAGTTAATTTTCTTTATTTATTTGTTTGATGAATAATGTTGATATTATCTATTTATTAATATTGTTATTTTCTCTTTTTCCTTGTTAATAATTTTGTTCAGAAATTGATTGATTATCCCTTTTTACTGATGCCCCGCTTAACGATGAAGAAGATCGATGATATTTATCAAAGTAAGAGCCCTTCTGCACGTATGAGATTTTTCAACAAAAATATTGCATTTGCTACGTTTTCATTGATTGGAATTTGGATCCGAGTAGGTGTGAACCATTTATGGTTGCAATATATAAATTTGATCTGAAGAGAATTATATATGGTAGGGATCCGGATAAATTGTTAAGATTCAACCAAAATAATTGGAACTTGACAATTGTGGAGGTCGATGTTGCATTAAGAAGTCTATGGCCTGATATCTCATTCACATATATCCATGAAATTATAAGTGTTATTTTACTTTCTTTAGATACTTCTGTTCCAATATTGGAGTATGATTATACGTAAGAGTTATTTTATTTCTTTAGATAGTTCTGTTCCAACATCGGAGTATGATTATATGTTGTTTTACATGAAATTGCATTATTTTATTTAAGCACAAATTTAAATTAAAAAATTGACTGATGCCCCAAATCCCCTACGAGCCATCGTTTACCCAACTTTTGGCTCAAATCTGCCCCGTTGCGATGCCTAGCTTCAACCGAAGCGGAATTAGGTGTCTATGTTATTTGAGTTCCCATTTCCCCAGCTGTCCTCATGAGAATATTTTCCTCACATCCTGCATGTATATTATTTTGGGTAAAATTTGGAGAATGGTGATGCCATATTATTTCATCAAAAAATTACCCGTACAGAACTTATTATACATGAGCATGCTGCATGCAAACATAATAGCAACTATCACAATCCCATATTCATGGTGGATTTTTACTTAAAACCTCTCGCGAAACATTCATACTTTTGAAGAACGCGTCATTACATGATTCATGGTGGAATATGGGAGCTGCCAAAGAATCCAAAACCTTTTACCCTTATAATGCGAGATGAGTCTACTACTGTGTCTTTTCAACCCAAACATAATGCAAATCAATGAAGCCAGTCCATGCATTGAGTATTACTATAACACTTAACCCAGAGCTCTATATTTTAAAAAGATTACACACTCAAGCGTGCAAATTCTCAGATGGCAGAATGGGAAAAATGAAATTACAGAACACGATAAGCATTTAAACGAAGTCAGATTTTTTTTTTTAACAAAATCATATGTTTTGCTATTCAAATAGAAGTTACTAGCCTACGTCGACGTTGATATCATCTCAGCCATCTTACGTTACCTATCAGTATATTTGAATTCATATATTTGTCAGCAAGTTAAGATGCCACAAGAACGGGCATCCATGCAATTCCAAATACGGCAGTAGACTTTAGCTCATGAGGCGTGTTAGAAACAATACGAATTCACACAAAAAAATCAAAGGCCAATCAAAAGAATTTCCAAAATAGAGAAATTTATATATGAATCAAAGAGCCCAGAATGTCACCAGATTTAGCATTCTTTGAGCTTCCTCAGTCAATGTGGGATGGAATGCTCAGGACTGAAGAACCACATGTCAGCTTTCCCAAGTAGCTTGATCGTTTCTTCACACACCTTGAAAAGTGTAATTCCATTTGCCCGTAAATTTTTTGCAGCCAGACTGGTTTCTTCGGCCCAATTCTAAGTATACCGCATTATCGGTAAAGAGTAAGTATGTGGTAAGAGATTCGTAAGAATTTTTTGTTTTTTGTTTTTGTTTTGATATTGTAAGAAGGCGCTTCATATCTCACATTTGCATCCTCATTTAGCCTTTAGTTGTTTTTGGATCGTAACTTCCCGAATTTCACAACTAAGCGATTATGCATAAGATAGAAGCGTGCACACAACTACACAAGGGCCCTTCTAACCAGCACAATTTGCTAACTAAGCTTCAACTTATGCAGCTCACTTGAAGATACTCATGCACATCGCAACCAACTAAATTTCGAAATTTGCAGTTCTAGTCTTACATAATCTAGACCTTTAACTCTGATTGTTTGACTCCATCTTAAAATCGGATACAACATTATGGAAAATGGAACTAGTACTTAATTATAGCTGCACTAATCAACCCAACCACGTGCATTATGATCAGAGAAAAAACATTCAAAAGCAATTGAATCATTAGCTAAATTAACAACAATTAAAGCTTAAAAGGGTAAGAAATTTGCTTACCCTCTGTAAGGATGCCAATGAGCATTGCTTCAGTCCCAGTCGTTGCATACTTGAGCTTCCTGGCTTCCAATTCACCCATGGCAAATGACTTTATAGCCTTCCAAGACCATCTGCATCCACTCACCCAATACCAAAACCTCAATCCCAACAAACCCAGAAATAAAAAAACACCAAGCCCTCAAAAGATATTAAAAAGACACTCACTTGGGCACTTTGTGTTCACTTGTTTTTTAGTGGTCAACAAGTCAATTTTTTTGTTTTTTTTTTTGTGTATGAGCGTGTCACTGCTAGCAGTTAAAACCCTAGCAAACTTCTAAAAAATAGATAACTTGCGCCCTAAGTTACTGATTTTAAACAAGCAATTGTGAATTTGGGTGAGGAATATCTCCCAAGTAAGTTCTTTTCACAATACAAGACTGATAGTTCTGGCCAGAATAAATATTAAAAGAGAGCAAACTGTTTAAGTAGAACTGCCTATTACAGAACTTAAAATAGAACTGCCAAGTTTGAAAAAGACAACAGAACGTTTGGACTTCGATTTCTACCTGGGTAGCTGCCTTGAAACTGGGCTAGATTAGATGTGCTTATGCTGGATTGGATTGTCAGCACCTTCAATTGATCTGTTTCAACTAGAAGTCGATACCAAAGTTTGAATTTGGCAGAGCTTTAATCTGTTTCAAGCTCTGGAAGGCTTGTTGGATGGGTAGAATTGAGGCTCTTCAGTCTGGACGGGGATAGAAGTGGCTGGATTGATGATTGCTGAGCTGGAGCTGAGCTATAGTACCAGTTCTGCTTGATCAAGACCTCTTTATAAATTTGTTGAGGTTTTCATATTGTAAAAATCTGAATCCTACTTGATTTGGTCTGTGTTGACCCAAATTTGTAACAAGAGAAAAACTTGTTCTCTTTGTGAATTGTTTCTTTGAATTGAATAATGACCTAAGTTTTGGCAGTTTTTGCTTGAGGGTTGAATGATTTTTTCAAGATTGAATTTGAGATCTAGATGACTTTATTCTTTTGAATTTTGTTAGTATAACTTGAGAGTTTTGTTTTGATTGATTTCTTGGCTGTCTCAAATCTGTTCACCTCCTCTCATATTTATAGAAAACTTTGGAATGAGGGTTTTTATTTTAATCTTTTAATACTAGGCGGCAGATCTTTCAAAAAGATTTTCCTTTTCTAATGCCACAAAAAGGGGGAGTTATTATTTTGGCAAAGAAGAACCATCAACAATTGGTTTCTATGGTGGTCTTTTCCTTGCTTTTTTGGCGAACAAACTCTCCTAATCCTTTATTTCTTGAAAAACACATCATGAAAAACACATCATGTTCCAATGTAGAGCCCTCTATGGATATAGAAGGGCAACTTGGCTATCCTTTCCTTCTGGTCATTTTGAATGGTTTATGAAGAGTGTTCTTCTGGTTAACCTGTTTCCATTAACTCCCCATCAACTCCTCAGTTGAAAATTTTGACTTTCAACGTCACATGGGCCTCCTCTTTTGGAAAAAATATCTTCCAACATATTTGCCTTGATTTGACTTGAGATCAACAGTGAAGATCAAATTCTTTGGGCTTTTGGAGATCTTTGAAACTGAGTCCATTTTTGCTAATTGGTCTTCAAGGTTCTGGGCTTCTAAAACCATCTAGGCTGATCTTTGTATTTTTTTAAAACAAAGCCCAAAAATTCCTTCTTCTGATACGAGCCAATATTACTTGGGTTGGTGTGTGGAATTTTAGGCCCAAACAATGCCCCCTAAGTATGAATCGTTTTGAAAAACGGTTTCAGACTTAATGATTGGTCAATTAATGATGCACACATTTCCTGCCGTTGCTCTAGCCCAAGTCTGCTTATTCACTTAGACTTCGGGGGGAAATGGGCAATTTTTAACAGCTATTTTAATCCTGGTAACTCCTCTCCTCCCATGATATTTTCTGAGCTTTTATAAGAGATTTCAACACTTTGTTCCTGTTCATCCAAAAACTTGACTCCTTTCCTCTTTCGATATCCATCAGAATCCTTTGTTTCTTTCGATCATCCTTCAATTCTTCTCTGTTCTTGCTTGGAATCGAAAATGTCTTCCCCAAAAACTTGCTCTAAGAGCTCTTCCTCTTCTCTTCCTCCTCCCTATATTTCTAGAGCAGGCGTTGATCAACACGCCATTGAAGTTCGCAGAAAGCTTCACTGTACACCCAGAAAAATCTAGATGAAAACGTTCTCTAACTGTTCAAGAACACTCTCGTTCTGGGCCCTCACTAGTTTGGCAGCATCCTTGAAGATATGGTGGAATTGTTCAAGGAAGATGTTGAGGCTCCTCTGTGCTTCCAAAGTTCTTTTGCTCATGCTTCTCACACCTGGGTTAGTAAGAATTTGAGCGGCTCCTATCCCACAAGCGAAGTGAGAAATAGCACTGTGAAGTGGTCAGATTGGATTGACAGACTTTTTCCAAGTTATGGAGACCATTGGGAAAAGGCTGGAATTTATGATGTCATCCTCTTGTCCAAGTAGTCTATGAACATAGATGAGAATTTGCTGGCTGTTGCTCTCTGCTTATGGAATTCTGCCAGCAACACTTTTGACTTCCATGTGGGTCTAATGACTCCAACTTTTTTAGGTATGACTCAGATCTTTGGGTTTAGACCTCATGGGAGGCATGTTGATGCAGTTGGTGACTATCACAGAGGGAAGAATTATAAGAAGCTGGCAAAGAAGTTCACTATATCTCCTGCTATGATCAACCATAACTGCTCCTTCTCCAACTACCTGAAGAGATTCAGTGCTGAGAGGGATAGGGATCAACAACATATGTTGTTTCGTCTGTACTGGTTGAACAGGTTTGTCTTCCTAAACTGTTCTTCAGCAATTCTTCTTGAGTATCGACATATGGCAGAAACTCTGCATAATCATACTGATGTGGGGCTTGGTCCTACAGTTCTGGCTTACTTGTACAAGAACCTTCATAGCACTACTTTGGAGAACCCCCTGAATATCTCTGCTCCGAGTCCATTCTGGATGATTCAGATATGACTGTAGGTGTATTTCCCAGAATTGAGGTTTCCAGATATAGTTATTCCTAAGGATCAGGTCATGGCACTCCCTTTGATGTCGGCAGAAGTGCCTAAGCTCTCCATTGCAAAGTATTTGACGTTTTTTAGGCACTGCACCAAGTGGTATGCTGCCCAATGACAAGTTGTGCTTAGAAGAACCTATCATTGGTTCCAGCCTATATGCAGATTGTTCGAGAAGGAGCCTGAAGATGAAGAGGCCAGAACTAACTTTA